CCCCGCCGTAAAAAATGGCGGCGGGCGCCTCAGACGAGGCGACACACTACACCACCCGGATAATCCTTGGCGGACAGTGTGTACGAGGCTGTCGTCCCATCTTTTCCGGGACCCATTCAATAAAGTTTCGCGTGTTTGACGCATCACCCGGGGTCACAAAGGAGGAAGGTAGACACTGGAGTTACATTGGTGGTGTTGTCCACGTCGTGGGTGTTTGCCTTGTTTGTTGAATCTTTCGCTCCCTCTCGAACATCAGGGGTATATCGTGCCGGATCCAATTGGCCTGTGTGACGGTACACAAAAGAGGAATGTATGAGTATGCCAATGAGAAATGTATCTCTCGTTTTTGAATGTGTATTAGCCTGGTGTCCTTAGTTTCTACCTTGCTAAATCTTCCGGCTGGTTGTAGCGTTCTCGAATTCTCCTAAGTGCTGGAACCCGAAATTCCTCATTCGACCGTTTTTATTAATTCTGCAGGCGTTCGCCAAGCAGCACGGGTCCTACGATGCAATATCTGGGGGGCACGTGTGCGATGCGTTCGAAGCCCTGACGGGGGCACCAACGGAGACCATCATGCTCGGTAAGGGTGGGCTTGCACGGGCTTAGACGTTTGAGATATCGTCACTGCAGTGCGACTCGGTCGAGGCTGTGCTAAGGTTGGACTTACTAAGTTTCAAGGCGACGATGGCTGTGCTCTGCATCGATTTTTGTCTCCGCACGCTACTGTTATCTGCTCTTGACTATTATTGTTATTGTTGATGTGGTTCTTGTTCGATGTGCGTTGAAACTGCTCTGGCATCCGGTTGGTCGTGCGATGATACTCCGCTACGGGATTGCTGCTCTACGAGAGCTCAACGGGCACCTATGGAGGGCAGCGTATTTAAGAGTACCTTTGAAACGTGGTTTTCGTAGTCGGCAGAGCCAGCTTTCTTCTCAACATTATTTGTTTCGTCTGTTTTTCCCCGCCCTCATTATTCCCAACCACAAAGCTCCTAGAGATATCACGTCATCGTGTGGTAAGCGCAATACACCATAATGAGTTCGGTTTCGGAACACTTTTTTGGGACATGTCGCATATGTTTCCTTTGTTTCTTCACTGGCGGCGCTCTCAGCAAGGACGATAATTCCTACGGTCCCGGCAAGCAATCTTATCCAAAAGCGAACGCAGGCTATTTCGTACGAACCTCACCTTGTTTGCTCGCGTTTCCACGCCACCTACGTTCACCCCAATACTTCTATCTCGCCATTTGCTTTTACACGGAGTCCGCGGCCCAAAACCCAGCTGTGGCAAACCGAAACTCCGATGTTGCTTGGCATGTTTGTTGCTCTTTCAGCAGCAATGTTTGGGCTGCACCTCGCTGGACTGTTAATCACCTTTCATCTCCACGGCAGCGCATTCTCTGTTGCCGCTCATTCTGTGCCTGCTTCTTTGGTTTCCCACGTACGGCGTTGTTGCCTTGCCCTTTTCGCCTGCTCAACGGTGCGACTGGGGACCTATGGGCTGTTTTGCTGCTACTGCTGCTACCGGTGCCCCTTCTGCTGTACTGCTAATCCTGCTGCCATATGTCATGCCGTGCGGCTTTGCGGATTCCTGGGATTTGTTCCGGATTGCCGGCGCTCAGACAACGACGATTCGGAGGGCAACTGGGCCCAGCTCCTGAGCTTCAACCAGGCAAGCTTTCCAATGGGCTGTGCTACTGCATGGGACCCGACCAGGTAGGTCGTACTCCCACCATGGGTTACTATTGTAGGCGTGGATGATGCCGTGTCTTGAAACGTTCCCGGTAGCATTGGTATTAGTGTTTACAAGGGCCGGACGCGCCGCCCCAAGTCCGGCCTAAACTCCGTGCTGCTCCGTGAGGCGCCCAGTTCCGAAGCGTCAGCTTGAGTGCAAATATGTACCTACATCTATTTTTCGAGCTTGATGCTGCCATTCAACTCCCACTGTTCCCCCGCCGCTGGTTGGTACTGCTGCCCCTGCCATATTTTCTTGTGCCGTAGGGGGCTACGTGACGTGGGGCTGGTCTCAACGCACGCCTACTCTGTCCTAGAGGTATCAACAGTCCACGGGCGAAGCGGATTCTAACCGTATTGAGATCTCGAGTACACGGCAGGAGTGGGGGGGGTAGCCTTTCTGTTCAATCACGAGTACAGGGGGGTAGCCGTATGTTCTATTAAATTGGTGGGGTTTCTCTCGATTCCTTGTAAGGCGTTTGTGTTGAAAACAGAGGAGTTGTGGGTGGGGGGGGGGGG